TGTCTCCTCACTGTTTTCCTCCCTCTCCTCAAGAGATTGTCTCCTCACTGTTTTCCTCCCTCTCCTCAAGAGATTGTCTCCTCACTGTTTTCCTCCCTCTCCTCAAGAGATTGTCTCCTCACTGTTTTCCTCCCTCTCCTCAAGAGATTGTCTCCTCACTGTTTTCCTCTCTCTCCTCAAGATATTGTCTAGATATGGGAGATTTCAACCTTCTTTTTTCACAGAAATGTTCCTCCAATGATTGACCTTGTTCATCTTCAGAGTCTATATTACTCTCAATTTCACTGTCTAGTTTGTCTTACCTTGACTTGGCACTTTTGCCTTCATTACTTTCAGGCTTGGTAAACATCTATTGTGTTGCAATCTAACTTGGTCTGCATTCGCTAATATCCCATTTCCATTTTTTTCTATTATCTTAGTGTTCTGTTCACTTTGCATTTTGCCTCTTGTAGATTAGATTCATTATACTTTTTGTACCATAGTTTTTTGTTGGTAGTACAGGACTTTTCGATCTTCCAGCATGTGATATTGTCCTTAACTTAGCAACAATCTAGGAAGAAATGTTTCTAGCTTTCCTTTTTGTTGTACATATATTTCCAATCAGTTTTTTATAGTTTGCACCATCCTTTCTGTTAATCTGTTTGATTGTGAATAGTACAGAGGGGTTTCGGTTTGCATCCACTTTTGTTCAACCATTGTCAGAGTTCCTTCTTTCACACTCAAACTTCTTTTGTTGGAGACCTGTATTACTTCTGGCCAGCCTGAATACAAATCTACAAGTATTAGCAATAAGCTTGCACCATTAATGTGGGCATGATTTATGTGTACTCTGTCCCATGTTTGGAACTCTTTAGGCCATGTATGTGTTTTTGTCTCCTTACATTTCAGGTTTGCTAAACATCTATTGTGTTGCAATCTAACTTGGTCTGCATTCGCTAATATTCTATTTCCATTTTTTTTCTATTATCTTAGTGTACTGTCCACTTTGCATTATGTATCTTGTCTCTTGTAGATTAGATTCACTATTCTTTTGTCAATGGAACCTAATTTATCTACCCATGAGGGCGGATGAACTTTTCGATCTTCCAGCATCTGGTATTGTCCTATAAATTAGCAACAATCTAAGAAGAAATGTTTTTATCTTTCAATCCGTTTTTTTTAAAAATAATTTGTACCATCCTTTCTGCTAATCGGTTTGATTCGGGATGTTACGGTGAGGGATTTATATGGTTTGCATCCAATTTTGTTCAACCATTGGCATAGTTCCTCGTCACAAAACTTTGGGGCGTTATCACATTTTAACTGTTGTGGATTCCGGTACCAATAAATAACAAACGCCAAGAAGGAATATAGGAAAGAATAATGTATTAACGTAATAATACAAACTGGTAATGCAGGTTAGTAGTTCCAGGAATGCAGGTTAGTAGCAAAATATCTATAAAGTCTTTGGTATTGAAGTATCGCTGTATGACTTCTTACTGAGTCTACGTGCTCGCTCACTGTGACTCTTGCTCGCTATGTTCGTTCTTTCTGTCTGTTACCTTCACCCTCTGTTGCTCTTCCGGGTCTTCACGTAGCAGTAGTATATGTATATACTGGGTGAGTCCATTTGTGTAAAAAGGGGAGAACCCCTCAACACTAACGTTTTTGGAATTCCATTTATTGAAAATAACATTTGTTTCAAGGTCGAACTTCCTTTGTTAGAAATCTGTATTACCTCTAGCCAGCCTGAATACGAATCTACCAGTATTAGTAACAATCCCATTCAATTAACGTGGACATGATCCGTGTGTACTCTATCCCAAGGTTAGGACTGATTAGGCTAGTTCGTTTCGCCTTCATTACTTTCCGGCTTTCTATACATTTCTTCACCGCTATTGTGTTGCAGTCTAACTTGGTCTGCATTCACTAATATCCCATTTCCATTTTTTCTATTATCATACAGTTCTGTCCACTTTGCATTATAAATCTTGCCTCTTATAGATCAGATTCACTATTCTTTTTATACAATAGTTTTTCGTTTGTAGCATAGGACAGGGTCAATGGGACTTTATCCATGAAGTCGGGTGGGCTTTTCGAGCTTTCAGCATCTGGTATTGTCCTATAAATTAGCAACAATCTAGGAAGAAATGTTTATATCTTTTCTTTTTGTTTTCCAATCAGTTTTTTAGAGTTTGCACCATCCTTTCTGCTAATCTGTTTGATTCAGGATGGTACAGTGGGGGAATTATATGGTTTGCATCTATTTTTGTTCCACCACTGACATAGTTCCTCGTCGCAGAACACTGGGGCTTTGTCAAATACTAACGTTTTCGTAATTCCATTTCTTGAAAATATGACCCATAACGCTTGTTTCATGGTCGAACTTCTTTTGTTGGAGACTTGTATTACTTCTGGCCATTCTAAAGACGAATCTGCCAGTATTAGTAATAATCCCATTCCATTAACATGGGCATAATTCGTATGTGCTCTATCCCAATGTTAGGATTCGTTAGGCCATGTATGTGCTTTTGCTTGTTTAAATTTTCTTCTGGCATTGCACCTTTTACACCTTTTTATGTATTCTTCTTTATCTATAGAATAGCCTGGCCACCATGCCCCCAGCTTTAATCTCCTTTGCGTAGACATTATTTCGCAATGAACACCGTCATGTATGCTTTTTATAACTGCTCCTTTGCGTAGCTGCCGGAACCACTACGTCTCCATGACAAATTATACATTTTTCTACAGTTATGTTTTGTTTAACCTTTTTAAAACACCTTTCTGGATATGAGCAGTTATTCCACTTACGTTTTATCCTGAACAATATACTGTTCAATATGGGATCTCGCTTCGTATCCTCAGCTATTTTGTCTATCGACAAACTACCAGTTTCGATCCAATGTAAGAAAGTGTCTTCGAATTTTTCCTCTTCTTTCTTACTTTCAGAAGTAATGAACCTCAATCTCGACAAAGCGGCGATATACGGAATAGTGTTGCCTTTCACTTACTCAATATCAAAGTCAAACGTCATTAACATTGAGGCCCGTCTTAGAATTCTAGACGATGTTACTTTAGGAAGTTCCATCCTAGGATTAAATATGAATTCTAAAGGTCTATGGTCGGACCTTAGTAGGAATATGCTTCCAATCAGAAACTGACGCGCTCCATTTGTCGTCCATATTATGGCCAACGCTTCTTTCTCAATATTTGAGTAGTTCAATTCGGCTTTTGACAATTTTCTAGAAAGGTAGATAATGGAATGACCATCCTGAGCTAATATTCCCGAAATTGACTGTTCACTTGCGTAAATCATTACCATTAATTCCCTTCTAGGGTCGAATATTTTCACTCTTGGCTTCTTTTATCAGAACAGTTTTTTAAATTTCAAATGCAACTGGTTATTCTTTTGTTCAAATAAATTCCATATTCTTTTTTCTTGAAGTAGCAAATTCGGAGTATCACTCTGCATATATTCTGTAGAAATTTACAAGTCCTAAGAAAGATTCCAATTCTTTTTTGTTCTTAGGTACTTTTAATATTTTGTCAATTAACGATTAGTCTTGAGATATGCCTTCGTTAGATATGGAATATCCCCCAAATTATATATTTTTAGTGTTGTGCATACATTTTATTTCGTTAATTTTTAATCCAGCATTTTTTTTAACTTATTCAAAACCATACTGGTTTTCCATTTTAACTCTTCATCGTTAATAGCACCAACCAAAATCGCACTTGCGATTTTAATTCCATACAGAATTCTTTTCCAACTTAAGCCTGTTGGCATCTTTATTGTTGCGACTTCTTTAAAGTCTTCGTCAATAGGTATTTGATCGTATGTCAACTTCAGATCAATTTTAGAGAATGTTTTCATACCCGCAAGGGAGTTCCAAGCCCATTCAACTTTGGGGATAGGATATGTCGTCTATACCTATTTTATAGTTACCACAAATGCATAGATCCCCATCCTTCTTTCTTAAAATTACTAACGGGGAGTCTCATTTGCTCCCTCCTGTCGAAACTCGTTTTTTTTTAGTTTTTCCACAACTATTAGTAGTAAATGGACTGGCAATTTTCATGCTTCAAAATATGAGTGGCGAAAATTTTCCTGGACATGGACAAGGCTTTTCTTCAGTCTTGGTTTTCCTATTTTTTTCCAGAAATTTCTGGGTATCAACGTCACGTCACTTTTCGTATCTAGTTGCATGTCCAATAAAACATTGATTCGAATTCTTAATAACTCCTTTTCGCTTTTTTCAATGAAAAGACGTCCATACTTATTTTCTCTTCATTTTGTTGAACCATCTCTACGTTTTTCTTTTTAGATTTACACATACTTTAAAATGATTTCATTTTGAAACACCTTTCAATATTTTTTATACGCCGGACATTTTGTTTTTTTCTTTGATGTTGATATCCACAAAAAGTACCCATGATTTTATCTTTTTTCTTTATCTCGTATGTGTTCAGATCCGTAACTTTTGTTCTATTAATTTTTCCAATTAATTCTTGTTGCTGAACAAATTCAACACACTGTTCTAGTGACAAATTTCCCAGTTGTAAATGCATTAGAGTCATTTACTGATACTCATCATTTTGAAGGCCGATTACCAATTTCATTTGGATCAAATCCTCTTCGATTGACTGGTTTTCCGACATTTTCTGTCTCCCTGAATCCCATTCTTTCGTCCATTCTAAAGTTTTCCCATTCCCTTAATTTTGTTTTTTACGGCTTATCAACACTTTGCTGGTTATTTAAAGTCAAAAAACATTTTTTAAAAGATAATAATGATTTAATATATGTCTTACTAATTAATCCATAGCTGGGGTGGGAAGAAATTAACTAATTCCTGCTATTATCCATTACATCACCCGCACGGCCCAAAGCTTAAGCACCTGATATTCTCAAACGGTCACCAATCTGACCAGGCTCGACATTGCTTAACTTTTGTGATCCTACGAGGACCAGTGTTTCGACGTGATGTGACCGTAAGACCATTACATCAGCCGCACATCCAAACTTACATCATCTGACATTCCCAGTCGGTCACTCATCGAGGTATTAACCAAGCTCGAGGTAGCTTAACTTTGGTAATCGTACGGGAACCGGTGTTTCAATGGGATATGGCGGTAAGCTCTCGTTCTCTTTCACTCTCAGTAACTCTCTTGCATATTAGTGGTGTTTAGATCTACCAATTTTTAATATTTATTGAGGCAGCGCAAGGCAGTGTGAAGCGGCGCAAGGTAGTGTAAGGCACCGTGAGGCGGCCCGAGACAGCGTGAGGCGGCACAAGGCAGTGTGAGGCGGTGCAAGGTAGTATAAGCCACCGTGAAGCGGGCCGAGACAGCGTGAGGCGGCGCAAAGCAGTGTGAGGCGGTGCAAGGTTGTGTAAACCACCGTGAAGCGGCCCGAGACAGCGTGAGGCGGCGCAAAGCAGTGTGAGGCGGTGCAAGGTAGTGTAAGCCACCGTGAAGCGGCTCGAGACGGCGTGAGGCGGCACAAGTCAGTGTGAGGCGGTGCAAGGTAATGTAAACCACCGTGAAGCGGCCCGAGACGGCACAAGTCAGTGTGAGGCGGTGCAAGGTAGTGTAAGTCAGCGCAAGGCGGTTCGAGACAGTGTGAGGCGGCGCAAGGCAGTGTGAGGCGGCGCAAGGCAGCGCAAGGCGGCGAGAAACGACTCCTGCGACGTGAGGCGGCGCACGATAGCATGAGACGCTCCAAAGGAGCAATATACGAAAAACAGCAAGTAATCTGTGGCTGATGAATAATTGATTATACTTTAAAAAGCTTTTTCATTTCAGTAACGATTCAATAACACGATCTCAGTATGCCTATCACTCTTGTAACTTGAGATCATGTCTTTCTTATGATCCATAGCTATATATTCTACCTACTCTGTTCTCAATTGTAGCATACTAGTGACGGGACATTTTTATCAAGATATCTCACAGTGGGAGAGAACACAGAAATAAATGAATTCATACCTCCTTTTTTTAATTTAGAGTTTTCCTTTTCTTAGACTAGCTATCAACCAAGGCTAGAGAGCCTCGTGTATCCTGTTACTTTACCCATATATTGCCTTTCTTATTGAAATTGAGCACGACGGACTGGGACAGCACTTGAACTCGACGTGAACTCGTTACGATTCCTGACCATCTACGTATTTCTTACCTGACAAATAAAATCGTTATGTTGAAGTAAACATTTACCAAAGAGCTTTTCATTATAATGTTAAATTTTCCTCATCCAAGAAATAAAAAAAAACCTTTACGCGTGACATGGTCACAGCTAATAAAACTTCTGAAATTCAATAGCTTTTTTTCTATTAAATAATTTAAATCAATTTATAAAATGCAAGATAATCTCCTAATGCAGTAGAGTGGAAAATAGGCAACATATATTGGAAAAATGTACAGTTATTTTCCCGCATTTGAACTTTTCTTGCTTGTTAATATTTAATTGCTTTATTTTCCAAGTGCGACCGCTACTGTGGCTTGCGCATGCGTATTGAAGTACGTATTTTTCTCCACCGGGAATTGATTTTTACACATTGGCGACTTACCTTGTCAAACTCGGACAAACGACTCAAAAGAATAAAGAAAGAAACGAAATATCTATGCTGCTAGTTGTAAAAAATCCATATATTGCAAGCAGTTCGAATGATATGCAATTTATTTCGATTGTTTTTAAATCTTATCAAATTGTTCAGGAACGCCCTTAAAGAGACTATTATATTAAATTAAGAAGAAAAACGATAAGAGCTTATAATGCAATAACCCCGACAGACGTCCGATTGGCCCGGCAGAGTAAAACTAGTAGCTGCTCTCGAAAACGACTCTCCAGTCAGTTGTTAACTAGGGCATGAAATGGTTTGTAAATTTTAACGAATCCAAAACGAAACTGCTACCCTTTAATCATTATAGAGAACCATTTTTACCCTTCTGTCAGCATGGCTGATGCTAACATCCAAAAGTGCAATTGACATAAAGTGCAGTGATTATATTGAATCAATTGCTAAGTCTGTTGCTTAGAAGGTAGGTTAACTGTGTAGTGCCAGGCAATCTTTCGCGTCAGAATCCATCCTTGAACATTCGACCGTGCATGGAATATTGCTGTCATATCCGATCTGGTGTTGCGTTTATATATCTCGAGGTTCTCAACGAAATCCAAAGAAGGGTCAGTGATGTTATCGGTTCTGATAGATACATATGAATAGACTGATATAGATAGATAGATAGATAGATAGATAGATAGATAGATAGATATGAAGAGGCTATTAGATAGATAGATAGATAGATAGATAGATAGATAGATAGATAGATATGAAGAGGCTATTAGATAGATAGATAGATAGATAGATAGATAGGGATAGGCTGAGATAGATAGATAGGAGTAGACTGAGATAGATAGATAGATAGATAGATAGATAGATAGATAGATAGATAGATATGAAGAGGCTATTAGATAGATAGATAGATAGATAAGAATAGACTGAGATAGATAGATAGGAATAGACTGAGATAGATAGATAGATAGACATGAAGAGGCTATTAGATAGATAGATAGATAGATAGATAGATAGATAGATAGATAGAAATGAATAGATTGGGATAGATATGAATAGATAGATAGATAGATAGATAGATAGATAGATAGATAGATAGATAGATAGGAATAGGCTGAGATAGATAGATGGGGTAGACTGAGATAGATAGATGAATAGATGATATAGATAGATAGATGGATGGATAGATGGATATAGATGATATGTAGATGGCTATTAGATGGATATGGATAGATAAGAATAGACTGAGATAGATAGATAGGAATAGACTGAGATAGATAGATAGATAGACATGAAGAGGCTATTAGATAGATAGATAGATAGATAGAAATGAATAGATTGGGATAGATATTAATAGATAGATAGATAGATAGATAGATAGAAATAGACTGAGGTAAATAAGAATAGACCGAGATACATATGAACTGAGTTAGATTGATATGAATAGATAGATAGATAGATATGAATAAACTGAGATAAATAGATAGATATAGGTGTTTAAGTTATGCAGAGAGAATAATATTGGCAAATCGATTATATCTTTATCGATTGAGTGATCGATAAGTAGGTAAATATCGATTATGGTAAATACATCAAATTTCGAGAAATAAATTCAACCCACCTTAAATAAAATAAGATAAAAAAGGTTTTATAATGTTTTCTTAGAAAAAAAAAATTGTTTTAAAACAGGCAAAGCGTAACAAGGACAGAAAAGACGAAACAACACCGCTTTGATGTGTTTCTCGTTGTTTCTCGTTCAGCCACGTTATCTCTCGTTGTTTTTCATATCTCGCATGCGATCAAGTAAATATGGATTGAGATTCATATTCAAGGTAACAATTAATTAACGATGCCAAAGATTGATATGTTAGTATATCCGAGAAATATTCCAAGAAATTTGAGTTCTGATCTCTTCATGGCGTTGCAAAGAAAAAGAAACATATATACATAGTTCGAGTGGAATTTACATCTCACCAATGGAATACGAAGGGAATGACGTTGGTTCGCTTCAATGTGCATATCATGGCGGGTCTTATATCATGTTCGTCTGAACACTTTTCATGTGATAGAACAGCGAGAGGCTTGTGACGTGAGAAAGAGGTTGTGTAGTGGAAGATAATTCGTCACCCACAAGGACCCGGAGACATTTTTGGAGTCTATAGGAAAGGAAATACTTGGCAGTTCCTGGGCAGCAATATTCCATTTTCGGTCCCATCTGGCACACATAAAGGTATAGGAGGAGGAGTCAGATATTTACTGGAGCGGTACAGGGAACTGATCATTTTCTTTCACGTTTAAACAAAGTTCGCTTTTAGAAGCCGTCCTGACAGCGGTTCGTATATTGAAGGAATCAATACAACTCCGACAACACAGCATCCTAATGTTTGGACATTGCAAACAAAGGCCCTTCCTCGTGGTAGACAATTGGCAGGCGATCAAAGATTTCTGCGTCACAATCTTTTCTTCTTTGTGCCGTGACCCATCAGTAGTTTTGGTTTGAACGAGAGACAAAAAGGTGGAGAGAGGTTTTGTTTATACGAGATTCAAAATGGCAGGTATATGTTTGGTTTGTATGAGGGTCAAAAAAGCTCGATATAAGTTTGGTGAGCTCGAGAATCTAAAAGGTAGACACCTCTTTGATTTGCAAAAGAGTCACAAAGTTAGACATAGGTTTGGTCTGTACGAGATTCAAACGTTTGATGACAGAGGTCAATTATAAAATTTGACCTCATAACACCAATTGCCAAAGTAGGCAATTAAAATAAGTTGATTTATAGCTTCATAAGTCATGACATTGTTTTCAGACTAAAATTAACACAGCGAACAAATTAGTTGGGGTCTGCAGATGAAAATGCATTAGAAAATGCTAAAGCACAATATAACTCGTAGTCGGGGCGAGATAATTTGTAGTCGGTACGAGATAACTCGTAGTGCGTGCGAGATAATTCGTAGTCAGTACAAGATAACTCGTAGTGCGCGCGAGATAATTCGTAGTCAGTATGAGATAACTCGTAGTGCGTGCGAGATAATTCGTAGTCAGTACGAGATAACTCGTAGTGCGTACGAGATAATTCGTAGCCTGTACGAGATAAGTCGTAGTGCGTGCGAGATAATTCGTAGTCAGTACGAGATAACTCGTAGTGCGCATGAGTCAATTCGTACTCGGTAAGAGATAACTCGTTGTGTACGCGAGATAACTCGGAGTCATCATGACATAACTCGTAGTCGATACGAGATAACTCGTAGTCGATACGAGATAACTCGTAGTGCGCGCGAGATAATACAATTTCTTAACAAAATCAAACTGTATTTCAAAATATAACTTCAACAAAACCACAACATAAAACACACATATCACCGCCTCAAATAATTATGTCTACACAAAAGCTGAGTATCATCTACCATGTATTCAATTGTGAAAGTAGAATAAAATATATCATATTTTTATTACCTCAAAGCTCCCAGGAAGATTAAATTTCAGCATTAGATGACCCATAAGTTGTCGATGTGCCATTGAACAAATCAAATTAAATCATCGAATGAAGACACTGTTAACATATATACGCCAATGAATATTACCGTATTTTATTCAAAGATTCTCTTTTCATATTGACTATGATTGAAGACTTTTAAGATAGGTCCCGCCAAGTACCAATCTACTTCAGAATTCCACTTCGACATTAATTAACCAGCCGCAGCTGCTGCTTTGAAAGGTATTCTAATTCGAAATTCATTCCATCGTTGAAATCGACAAAAATGCCTTTGCAGCCGCATTCACCAACCCAATTTTTATTTGATAAATTACTTTCTTCCTTTCGTATTTTCTTGGACATCTTTTATTTATCGATTCTATCATTAAAATTATTTTCATATAATGTCGCTTTCTTAAAATCAATAAATTACTAAACAGGTTTTTTTTTTCTCTTTTTTTGTTGCATGTTGACTTCCAGATAAAATTCACAATTTTATTTTTATATATTATTATTTTTTTAAAATCACTATATTAGTATTATCATTTTATTTTTTCTTTAAATTACTATATTATTATTATTGTTATTATTATTATTATTTTTTTAAATCACACTATTATTATCATTATTGTTTTTGTTAAATTACTATATATTATTTCTAAATCACACTATTATTATTATTTTTAAATCAATATATTATTTTTAATCTATATATTATTATTTTTATATAATTTTATTATTATCATATCATTATGATATTATTTTTAAATTACTATATTATTATTATTGTTGTTTTTGTTAAATCACTATATTATTATTTTGTTAAATTACTATATTATTGTATTATTTATTTTAACCACTATATTATTATTATAATATTATTAGAATTGTTTTGTTAAATCATTATAATGTTATTATTTTTTAAAACACTGTATTATTATTATTTTTAATTAATTTTAAATCTATATTATTATTATCTTATTCAAATAACTATATTATTACTTTTTATTACTATATTATTATTATTATTAGTATTATTATTTTATGTATTATTATTATTTTTAAAATTACTATATTATTTAAATCACTATATCATTAGTAGCATATTATTATTATTTTTATATATTATTATCATTTTTAAATCATTACATTATTATTAATATTATTTAAATGACCATATTATTATTATTATTTTTAAATCACTACATTATTATTATTATTATTATTATTATTATTATTATTATTATTTTAAAAATCACTATAACTGGTCTGAAACAATTTTTGCGGCATTATAATAATTTTTGCGGACGTTTATCAGATATGTCAAATATTCCCCTGGGGGTAACTTTCCTTTTCGTTACAGTTAGATTTTGACTTCTTATCAATTGGATTGTAAATTTAAAAAAAAAAAAAAAAAATAAGGAAGGAAGGAATATAAATAGAATAAAGAATTAAAATTTACAATAAATAAATAAAGAAATAAAAGGAAATAAATCAATAAATAACCATAGAAATAAAATAACGAAAAGAGAAAGTGAAATAAATAAGCACTTAAAATCATTTTTCATTCCGACTCAGTCAAGCTGTCCTTTTCGTAATCTTAGCAAAGTACTTGAAGAGCTCGGATGGTTGAAGATAACTGAAAAAAAGAAAAAAAGTAAAAGTAATCAATCAAAAGCAATGTCATTCAGACTTTCTTTGACGTCACAGACACGATCCTGCAACTTCAGGTAAGAATATAAATACAACTATCCATTCATGGTTACTAGAGATTTTATAAGCACACTGTAGGGCAACGGTTCCTAAACATATCTCCCTGGGCCGCATTTTCGGAATTAAAATTTGCTCGTGCCTCACCAACGGGAAGTATCTCTGAAAAGGCGCAAGCATCCCTACGGCAAAGAAAGTCCAGAGTGAGGCTTAAAGGGAGATAACCGCAGAGTCGAAGTTAGAACATTGTCATTGATAACTCTCTCCTCCAATTTGCGGAGCCTAGTTGCTATATTCTTAATACTTGATATAATGCAAAAATATCGCAATGATAAAATCAGTCAATAATTATTGATAACTATTTATACTGGGAGTCATGCATGCAATTACAAGTAATCCATAATAATATTTTTAAATTATTTGTTTTAGCTATAGTAATTTTTTGAAACTATTTCGAAGTCTTTGATTATCTTTTAATCATCCCGCCTCACCTGCTATCCTTTTCTGTCGTTTCTATGGCGCGCACCGCAACGTTTGGGAACTTCTGATTTAGATAAGCTTTAAAAATGAGTTCAGTAATGAAAACCCCATATAATCTATTTAATAGATAAAATGGAATATGTTCATTTATGAGAAGAACTTCTTACAATTTTCTATGTGTTTTTCAATTATTAAAGTGACTGTCTATATTTAAGAGATCAGGTATTGTAATTATTTACACTATTTATATTGTTCGGACTGTTCTCCTCATCTTTGTTGTCATATTCACGACGTTTCGGCCGTTGTACGCTCCGGTATTCTTCAGATGATTGGGATTTCGAACTGAACCCTTTATTTTGTCCACAAGGTAGATTGTTCTACTTGTTCTAATTCATACACTGATGTCCTCAAGGACACATGGCCCAGTGGTTAAAAGCGTTGGTTGAATCCACTGACATGTCCCAAAGAGTTTAATAACTGGCTCACTAATTATAGTGAGATGAAAAAAAAAATAACTTGAAGTTAAAAGGAAAATAACTGGTACTGAGACACCTGGAAGAGGCATGGCACGTGGAACTAGTGTAAATTGTTAAAGTGACAATTAAAATTAAAAAAAAATATTTAAGTAAAACTCAACTTACCCAGATTGATTTTTTTCACTGTTTGGCTTTTCTTCATGAGAAACGACAATTTGATCCCTGAAAGAGATGGAAGAGGTAGGAAAAAAAGGCAATAAATATAAAAATATTTTTGAATTTTACTGGTTAACGATTTTAAAATAGTTCAATTAATACGACTTTGATGGTGGAGGTGACATGGCAGAATTTAATGGCCTTCGTCTGTCTGTAAAAATACATTTAAAATTAATGGCCTTCTGTCTGTAAAAATACATTTAAAATTAATGGCCTTCTGTCTGTAAAAATACATTTAAAATTAATGGCCTTCTGTCTGTAAAGAATACATTTAAAATTTATAGCATTTGATTTCTAACACGGAGAAGAAAATATTTTTTTTATATTATTTATTGATACAAATAAAAGATTAATTTCATAAACTACTGGATATATTTCAACTAAATTTGCCATAAAGATAGGCTATGACCATATCTGTGTCAGAGGCTATGTAAAGTTGACCTAGGCCAATAATGAAGGTTATGAAAGGTCAAAAATAAAGTCAACGTAGTGTTATTGTTGTACTGTCTCATGTACTGTAAACTGTTATTGTTGTATTGTCTCATGTACTGTAAACTGTTATTGTTGTATTGTCTCATGTACTGTAAACTGTTATTGTTGTACTGTCTCATGTACTGTAAACTGTTATTGTTGTATTGTCTCATGTACTGTAAACTGTTATTGTTGTATTGTCTCATGTACTGTAAACTGTTATTGTTGTACTGTCTCATGTACTGTAAACTGTTATTGTTGTATTGTCTCATGTACTGTAAACTGTTATTGTTGTATTGTCTCATTTACTGTAAACTACGGCGTACAATTTAGCTCAAAATTCCGAGTTAGTCCTATACCTACCATAGAGGCAGACCTTCAAATATATGGCAGGTTACCAGTGGCCCCAAACGTAGCCCTACTAGTAAAAGAAGTTAGTCTACAGTGTACGATAATCTGTGTCAAGACCTATGAGGCGCATCGCACCGTTTGGGCCTCACTGTTGTTATCGTTGTCTATAAACGAAAGATGAAACGCTTTTATAAACTTAACAAATTTATTTACTTTTTAAAGCGAAATCAGAACTAAAACAACAGAACAGACGATGCTGTGATGAAAATGGAGGTCCTTGTCTAAGCATTGCTGAAGAATTGACATTGAACAACTCTTTACGAAGACTTAAGTGGATAAATCAGATAACGATCACCTGGATGCACCCCTATCCAAGATAGACATACACTCCAGGCATAGATACAGAAACAGCTATAGTGGCCAGATATTCATTTTTCATGTTCACCCATCAGCGGCGGTGGTTATACAATCCCTGTTGCAGACGCGTGATTAGGCACATTTGTGCTTATTGAATGTCCATAGAGTGCGTACACAGGCCGAAAATGGAGTTCTGCTGCCGTATACGGACAGGAGCTGCTCATTCTTCACTTCCCAGTCACGATAGAGTTCTAAAGCGTGTCTGCGTCCTTGTGGATTATATTCCAACCCACAAACCTTTTCCCAAAGACAAAATGTCGCAAGCTTCTCACTTCTCTATTGCCATTTCCATGGAAAGTGTTCGGACGAACTACTTTCCTTAGTTCTACCATTTCTAACCTTCATGTCTAAAGACCCATTATACCACGCATATCATAGCGAACCATCCTCATTCACATTGTATTCAATTGGTGAGATGTAAGTTCCACTTGACCAGTGGATTTGACTCTAAAATATTCTAATCAATCTAATATTTTATTGAATTTTAGGTACCTTGGCTTAAGATTTATTACATTGGGTTGGTGCATAATTATCAGGCGTTTTTAAACAATATTTATTATGAAAAAAAGAAACATAACAATTCAACAATAACATTTTTAAATGATTATTCTGGAGCGTATATTTTATAAACTGAAAATTAAATAATATATATATTAAAAAAAAGTAAACAAAACAGCAATTTTTATTAACAAATAACTCGCCTACAAAAACGCCTGATAATTATGCACCAACGCAATAGTTAATGCTCCTATTGTCTCACAATATCATGTATCGACACTGGTATTTACAAAAATTGGCACCTTTATACACAAACAAAAACTATTCAGAATTATTTTTAAAGTACCGGATGTCGCTGAATTGTAGTAATCTTTTACATTTATCATTAGCTTTTACTTAATAATATCACTAAAACGGAACAAATTAAGACATAATTTTAAAAGTTTTAATAAATTAAATAAAAATAGAAATTTATAAATTAAATTCAAATTAAAATTCCTCCCCAAAAATTCTTGCAAATATTCATTATTCAGCGAAAATGTTTTTAAAGACAATAATGTTTATAACATATCTTATTCATAAAAGCAATTAAAAGCTTTTCTAATTAAATCATATTTTATTTTTTTTATTTTACGACTCACAGCAGATTTTCTGTTCTGTTTTACAAAAAGAAAATGAAATTAATTTAAATTCTCCAAGGATTTCTGGTTATATCTAATATAAACATTAAGTAATACAAAAATGAATTTCGCGAAATTTCTTGAGATTAAATAAATGGAGAGAAACAGATTTAAAAAAAAAATAGTTTTATCAAGCTTTTCTAAAAATGAAAGGTTTCTAAAATAATTTCATTTGTGAATAAGTCTTGAAAGTTTCATTAAAATCCGAAAATTATTTGATTTCTAAATCAATGTGTATTTTACGGTAAAAAAATCGCTAAAATTTCCTATACTAATGTATAGACACTCGCTAACGCAAGAAAGGTATATCTTTTGATCGGGTTCATGTATATGAGTTGACATCCATGAAGCATTGAAATTGTGGAAAAATTGAGGGTTTAGGTGGGAGGAGTAAATTACTTACCTGGGTTGTTGTTCTGGACATTAAAAGTTGTTACCAATTTATTATACTTGCAAGGTTTCGTGACTTGCTATCACGTGATCACCGAAGTTGTTATATAAAGATGTTTTTCCTCAATTTTTGTTTTTTGACTTTCGTTACGACGCAAATTAACTGACGGAAAAGCTACGACTTGGAAGTGGATATAAGTACCTTTTCTCATTTCTCTGGTCTGTACAGTCACGGATTTTTTTTTTTTTTTTTTGGGTCAAGATTTTCTCGACAAAATTAATGTCAACCGGCCTTGAAATTGAGAAGTCATTACTAAAGAAAATCTGCCTAATGACAATGCACAGTGAGCAGATATTAAAGAAAAGGAAGCTGTGGCGAGCCAAGGTCGGTTATACCCCGAAATGACATGCTATTTAAGGAGATGTAATAAGAGTAAAGCTCTTGTCTTTTCGACTGATATTCTGACTGTTTTATCTTTTAAATAAATAACACGATATGCTTTCTTAAATTAGTGCTGATAAGCAATTTTCGTTTCTAGAATTATAGTCATATAGCAAGGTTATTAGTCTTCGAAACTGGCCATCACACCGAGAGAATATTCCCTTGACGTCTGTCGAATATAAAACCAAGAACGTTATAAAATCACTCATAAACTGTGTTTCTGCGTGTGGAGGAAGGCATAAATATTTGATGACACTGATTCTAACGCGATCGTAGGCATTAATGCATTTTTCTTTTACGTCTGTCTGTAGGTAATATTTTGAATGACCCCTTAGATCTTTTGTCAGAGAATGACAAAAGTAATCTGTAGAGAATTAGGTGAGTGAGGGAGAAGACAGATGCAACGGAATCATAAGAGAGAGACGGAGAAGAGAATGGAATTATGGGAATGATAAGAAGAAGAAGATCAGAGAATAATAATAAGAAAACCAGAGAAGAGAAGAAAAAAATGAAGAAAAGAAAGAAGACCAGAGAAGAAGAAGAAGAAGAAGAAGAAGAAGAAGAAGAAGAAGAAGAAGAAAAGGAAGAAGACCAGGGAAAAGAAGAGGAAGACCCGGGAAGAGAAGGAAAAGAAGAAACAGAAGATAAGGGTAAAGAAGAAGAAAAGAAGATGTAGAAGTGAAAAAGGAGAGGACGAAGGAAGAGAAGAAAGAGAAGTAGGAGAGAAAAAGAGGAGAAGCAGAAGGACAGGGAATAAGAGAAGAAGAAGAAGAAGAAGAAGAAGAAGAAGAAGAAGAAGAAGAAGAAGAAGAAGAAAAAAGAAAAGAAGGAGAGAGAGGCGTAATTGAAGAAAGAATAACGAAAGTAAGAGTCATGATGTGAGGAGAAATAGAGGAGGGAGAGGAGAAGGAGCAGCCTAGGAAGAAGAAAGTGCAATATATATATATATATATATATATATATATATATATATGCAATTGTCGGGTATATTGTGCATGAAACTCAGAGTTGTGCTTCCAGTGAGGAAAAAAATTCATATTTATTATTAATATAAATGATAGGTCTGTTATTATATATATATATATATATATATATATATATATATATATATATATAAGGAAATTAATGGGTTTTATTTTTAATCAGACATTATTCCGTATTATTGTAAACGGTGTATATTAATGGATACGCATGTTTGAGTAGACATCCTGGGGATTACATTTACCAACCTCTACATTCCAGAATCTTAATATATAAAATTGCCATTTACTGGAACTTTTTTTCTATTTTGTAGAATTCACAAACCGGCAGATGCAATTCTCTCTAAATAAAAAAAACCAAAAAAACAGGGCGTCTACTCATACACGTGTATCCACTAAAATAGAACCAATTTCACGTGCTGCTTAAAGAACAAACCAGACCTCTAGAGAATTGGCTCAGAAGATGGCAAGCACTCATGTTACTGTATCTCGTTAATGTGTAAGATCAAGAAACATGGCGTATGGGTGCCACACGCGTTGACTGAGAGAAACAAACTTTCAGCGTTCCTCCGTTGACGCCAGTTTACTTGCGTGCAACCGGTTCTCATCAAACGAAACAAGTCGGCCATAATGCTGAGAATCTGTGAGTTTAAACTTCCTTGAAACGGGGAAAACCATTTCTGTTCCATTCTTTCGGCAACGAAGTCATCTCCGCACAATAGCACAAATGTCTCCAGCAGCTTTGGCAGCTTTGTGGCTATAATGAAAAGCAAAGAGAAGATGTCGAACATACTCGTACTTGTCTACTTGGCACTCCATCTCAAAGGGGGTGTCTAATCTGAAATAAAATTTCAATAATGATAAGCAACCGTTTCACAGGATGAGCAGAGTTAATAAGGACCAAAAAAGATATGAAAGATTATTCTTCGAGATACATTGAATCAATAGCTTCATCTAACGCAAGGAAAGTTGGTTCTCTGCGTCGTGCCAGAAAGATTTTCTCGTCTGAGTTCACCCTGCAAATCTATAAATCAACCATCTGTCCTTGCATGGAATATTGCTGTCATATATGGTGTTATGGGGTCCTCCCCTTTTTGATATAAGTGGACTCGACCAAAGTGTTACTGGGACTGCTGCCGTTAAATACCCACAGTCAGTCAGAATATACATACGGAGATAGAGATTGTGACTGAGTTGGAGGTAGAGTGATACATTTAATTTCTTATCTTTAATTCTTGCGTTTGTCATTCATTGGAGACCGAATTTCATCTCGGAATCCACAACATATGGTCTTGTACTCCCGCTGTACGTCTCGAGGTCGTTGACAAAATCCAGAGACGAATATGCAAGATGATGGCTAGCAGCTAGTCAACAATCACTATCCCGCAGACGTACCGTGGCCTCCCTCTGTCTCTTCTACAAATAGTTTCACGGCAACTTTTCCGACGAGCTACTTTCGCTGGTTCCCGGACTGCATGAATTTAAACAAGCTACCAGGCTGGCATCTCGGTCGCACCTTTTCACTGTCAAAACAGTTAAATCTAACTGTCTCTTCTTCTCGAACAGATTCTTCTCCCTCACTTCCCGTTTGTGGAACTCTTTTCCCCTTACTTGCTTCCCCGATGACTATAATCTTCAAATATTCAAGTGTAATGTCAATCGACATCTGACATCCTGAACTTTATTCTTCGTCCTTTTCTGTATCCTTTCCTCAAACACGCCCCTTTACTCTTGTTCTCAATCCTCTGTAACCCCTTATGTGCTAGTGGCACTCCCGCCTTGCTTGGGGTGAATTCCCTTAAAAAAGAAGATCATTCACAGAACATCAGAAAAAACAAACGAATATATGTGACAACATAATATTATATTTGCTCGTCGGCTTTTAACAATTAAAAGAATGAATGCCGGTCACCTGTATGCGTGGGCGGGCTGAAGAGTTCATGGGCTGTCTATGAAGGAATGATTCTAGAAATCTTGAAATGCATCAATTTCACCTGTTATTAATACCTGTATTGTTTCTTTCCATGTAAACTGACGCCTGACTACGTTCATCCCAGGTGATACCAACTTTATATTAGTACAAGACCAGACTATCAGCAGACTGACCTGAAAGGCGACCTCTTGCAGATTAGCGTCTCACAACATATCAGTGACTGCCTCCGACATGTAAACAGGTGGTCGGCCGAACTCTGGACATTGTTGACACGTGGGACCACCGGATGACAGGACTATATATATATATATATATATATATATCAAGAAGAAAACCCTTCAAGCCACACACCCACTCGCCTGTATTAATTAACAAAGCCCGGATGTGAATAAACGATCTTGGGAATAAACAGTAATCTTATGTATTTAGACATTTAGTCTCGAGCATGTGTTCGTCGATACAACGATAATTTTGCACCTACCATCACCAATCGATATTTTCTCTGCAAATCACAACTAGTAGCGATTTCTCTTGAAAATGGACAAAATTTGCTATTACGGTGTTATTATGCTATTATGGTTTTATTAAGTACCTTAAGGAGGTACCTTGGAGTAATGGATAGTGGCTCGGATTGAGGAATCGTAGAGCCGAGTTCGAATTCCACTCGAATCCATGCACTTACGTGCTTTCGCACTGTTGATAAAGTGGGGGAAGGGTCATCCCATAATGTAGCAACCATGTCAGCATGAATGTACTTGGAGGGATTAAACTCTTTCTCTGAAGGTACTTCAGTCAGTTATGTGCCATACGGGATATACACTTAGACGATCATGTATCTGACTGACGAGAAGGTATGAATCATCGTCTTCTCTCCCCAGCTATGGGTAAATATACCGGGTTCTATAGCCTTGGATAGTCTATCGCAGAAAAAAATGGGGAAAAACCTGCCTCGTCAGTCAGATACATGATCTCTCAATCGTGTACCACGTATGGCACATAACTGACTGAAGTACCTTCAGAAAAAGAGTTTAATCCCTCTAAGGACATTCATGCTGAAATGGTTGCTACATTATGGGATGACCCCCCACCCCAAACAAACACACACTTTATGAACAGTGCGAAAGTGTGCAGCTGAATTTAGGAAGGAAGATTCTTGAGGATGACCCAATGGTACTCTGCAAATGCCACTAGCGAGAAAAAACATTGATGATGATAAATCCAATAGCCAATGTTATTAGCATATCACGTGAGAGAAGTTGAGAATATTCTGCATAATGAATTTGGCATGACGAAGGTTTCTGCTCGGTAGGTGTCACGTCTACTGACACCACGTATATGGAAATGGTAGGAAACTTGTGGTCTGCGAAGAAAATATCGACTGGTGATGATAGGTGCGAAATTATGGTTGTATCGGCGAACACGTGCTCGAGACTAAATGTCTAAATACATAAAATTACTGTTTATTCACGAGATTGTTTATTCACATCCGGGCTTTGTTAATTGATACAGGCGAGTGGGTGTATTCGATGGCGGATTTACTATGAGTATGTAAAAACTCTTTATATATATATATATATATATATATATATATATATTAACTGATTTTAAAAATATGGTTTCATCGCTACACAGGAATTACCATGTTGCAAAAACAGAAAACAAAAACTTCAAATTCAATTATATTAATTAAAAGCATTATTTCTGTTTCATCATCAAGCGAATTTTTGAATAAATAAGTTATTCAAAAATTTGGGAATAAATAATGTTATTCCAAAATTTGGAATAAATAAAGTTATTCGAAAATTTAGAATAATTAAATAAATTCCAAAATTTGGAATAAATAAATTGCAAAATTTGGAATAAAGTTATTCCAAAATTTTGGAATAAATAAAAATATGTTATCCCAAAATTCGCTTGAAGATGAAATAGAACTAATGCTAATTTAATATAATTGAATTTGAAGTTTTTTGTTTTTCTGATTTTGAAACATGGTAATTTCTGTGTAGCGATGAAACCTTATTTTGAAATCAGTTAATTTATAATATTTATGAACTGTAAATTTACATTGAGCACTGTTTTGTAAAAATAAAAATATCAATAAGAACATCGGATTATATATCTTACTGTTCTTCCTTTTTTACTATAATATATATATATATATATATATATATATATATTCCTGTCATCCGGTGGTCTCACGTGTCAACAATGTCCGGAGTTCGGCCGACCACCTGTTTACATGTCGGAGGCAGTCAATGATATGTTGCGAGACGCTAATCTGCAAGAGGCCGCCTTTCAGGTCAGTCAAGTGATCCTCTGATCTTGTACTAATACAAAGTCTATTTTGGTATCACCTGGGATAAGTGTAGTGCATACTAGGGTCACCACAGATCAACTTCTTTCAGAATAAAAGCTTGTTTATTGGCATTGAATTTGACTCATAACTCCTGGTATTTCCTGGCTTGAATACAGTGGTTTCTGCTGGTTTTGTGCGCGTTAGGGATTTATGTATGCGTGTGTGTCTGTGTGTGTGTGTTCGCGCGCGCGCGCGCGTGTGTGTGTGTGTGTGTGTGTAATGCACAAAATAGGCCGGTTTAAAGGTGGGCCTGATCCCTGAGCCCGTAGGCTCGGCCAAAAATATAGCCTTTTGAACCCTTGACGGATTCAGGCCCTGTCTTACTAATCGTTCGCGAATGAAAACGTACAAGCGGAAATAAACTTGCCCTTCGGCAAAATAATGAACCATTACATATTGATCACGTCCGGGTTCCTCTCTCAGTAATGCAGAGTTCGACGAACGCCGACTCGGAAGCTCACAAAGGCAGCGTACTACACTTTGATCATTCCCCCCCGTAAACTCGGGCCCGCCTTGAGCAGCATAAGGCCCTTCAGAGAAGTCTTTCTCTGCTAATATATATATATATATATATATATATATATATATATATATATATATATATATATATATGTTGTTTCAAAAATAAATACACACACTTGTACATTGTCCCAACTGGAAGTCAACTTGCTTTCTTTTTAGAGTTACCCGTTCGTATTACTAATGTAATCCAGGTTTAGATTTGAACAAAGAAAGTTCAGCCTGAAGTCGTACTGGAAGCTCGAAAATGCAGTTGAATTTCAAAGGCGGTAACGAAGGAAGTTTCAATCAAACCCACCCACGCGGCTTACAATCTCAGGAATTACAGATAAGTTTGAATCTGATTGTACTGCACACGGTGTGTACAAGAAGCGCCCCGGAAGACCACGGATATTAAGCATGAACTTTGAAGCAAGAAAGGATGATAGAAAACTTTCACAGAAGTTCAAGAAACGTATCGAAGTGTTGATTACTGCTTGTGATTCTATTGCGTCGAATTGTCAATAATGTCTGGATCATAACAGAGATCAATTTGAAAACATGAAATGATAAAATCTTAATGCGGGTCGAGAAGCGGTTTCATACGACATTTTAAATTGCATGATAATGTACCACCCGCTGTTGGACCTCTTAAGTGCCTTGTTTGTGTCAGAGTCTGTAGGTCCCTTGCTAGTCTAAAGAACCACATTCGTTCAGCACATCAGTAGATATTCTCCAAATAGATATGTCGTAATGGCTTTACTCAGACACGATTTGGCAATCACCATGTATGTATGTATTTGGGCAACGATCCTTCTTTTATTCATATCTCATTAAATGTTATAGACAAGCGAAATTTTGTAAGATTATTTTATTCAGTTTTCTATTTGATCATAACGGACATCAATTTGAAAATATGAAATGACAAACTCTTAATAGGATGCACTTATAATAAATACTGTGTATGCATTTTTTTAAATGATGTTCACGCTGTACAAGGCCTAAGAGCAATTCGAGGTAGAAGATTATATATAAAGAGGCAGAGATTATGAGGATATGAGAGGATGATAACGGTTGTCTCGGGGCCGGAACAGGTTTATTGCAGTGTTCCAGGAAGCATCCCCATTCGGATATAAATTAGATAGAGGTGGTTCTAGATGCTTGTATTATTTCTTGAGAAAGTTTCAGAATGTATATACATTTCCTTGAGACACCATATATATATATATATATATATATATATATATATATATATATATATATATAATGTCTCATATATATATATATATATATATATATATATATATGGTGTCTCATATATATATATATGGTGTCTCATATATATATATTTATATATATATATATATATATATATATATATATATATATATATATATATATATATATATGTGTGTGTGTGTGTGTGTGTAATTAATACAAGTAAAATGTCCATGGTATTGTCATTATCCTTATCGCTTCTGTTGCCTGAAGTCTTTTCTTCCTCTGGGAAGAGATGGTCCAGTATTCACTGCCATATAGAAGACCGATATTAGGTACTTTTTTCTTTGTTTCTAACGAAAACTTTCCTGTTTCTTAATAGTTTGCTTAGCATTTGGAAGGCATCTTTCGCTAATCCAATGTGCCTCATAAGTGTTTGTCTTTTTGTTATTTTCTTAATCCCTGTTCAGACAACCATTTAAAAATTTGTTAAGTAGGTTATTCGCTGTTTTCCTTTGTCTCACTTGCTTTCAAACTGTCCTATGTGTATCAAATTCTCCAAGCCCTCCTACGAACCCGTTTTTTTAAAAAAAATAGCGGCGAATTGATCATGCTAAGCTGAGATTTCGCGAGAAATATTTTTCCTTTCTTCAAATTTTTTGTAAAATAAGATTTACACAATTCCGGTGTCGCAATTTCTCTTCATATCCAAGCAGTTTGCTTCTAGTATAGGTTGTAGATTATTCTAATAACCTCAAATATGTCAAGGCTACCTATTCAGTTCAAATAGTCCTTATGAAACGCTTTTGTAGAATCTATAAAACATAGATGCACATCCTTCTGCATTTGTATTGCTCTATCTCATAACATTCTGAGCATAAATATCGCGTTCCTTGTTCCATTGTCTTTAACGAAACGACATTGTTATAATTAATTATTAAAATGACAGTATCATCTACAAGAATTGTTTTTATGGGTACAGGGAATTATGTATGAGTGTTTAAGTGCTTGCTTATCGAACAACAAACACTCAAATGGTTATTTAGACATCTACTTAAAGAGTTTGTCATGTGACCAATGTATTCTTTTGAGGTTTTTATCTTCATTACAAGCATCATATCCTTGTACTGGACAATGGAATTGATAAATTACATTGGTGGCCTAAGTTGGAATTCCCTTGGCGTGTAGTTGTTGGCAATTATCAGGTTGTCAACTTTTAATTATTCTATTGTATATAGTAGGTTTTGCACGAGTGTAGAGGTGAAATGTGTTCATAATTTATTTCACATACATACATACATGGTATATATATATATATATATATATATATATATATATATATATATATATATATATATATATATATATACAATCAGGCACACACATATGTACACTTATGTACAGAAAGATAGATATGAACACACTAAGATAGATACGAGCAGATTGAGATAGATAGATACTAGTAGACTTAGATAGATAGATAGATAGATAGATAGATAGATAGATTGAGATAGATAGATAGATTGAGATAGATAGATAGATAGATAGATAGATAGATAGATAGATAGATAGATAGATAGATAGGAGCAGATTGAGATAGATAGATAGATAGATAGATAGATAGATAGATAGATAGATAGATAGATAGGAGCAGATTGAGATAGATAGATAGATAGATAGATAGATAGATAGATAGATAGATAGTAGAGGGTGCGGCAGAAATATCTGCCACATATACCTCCCACATAAAGGTAAGATATTATCTACAGTGTGAGTCAGAAATACCTCCCAAATTTTAAACTGTAACATGCGTGGTACGTGAAGACACCATTGACACTTGCCTAAGTGTCAATGGTGTCTTCATCTATAGCTAATATCTTACCATTATGTGAGAGGTATTTCTGCCGCACCCAGTGGATAGATAGATATGTACAGACTGAGATAGATAGATAGATAGATAGATAGATAGATAGATAGATAGATATGGTCAGACTGAGATAGATATGAATAGACAGATAAATATAAATATACTAAGATAGATAGATAGATAGATAGATAGATAGATAGATAGATAGATTGAGACAGGTCGATATGAACAAATTGAGATAGATATGAACAGCCTGAGATACATAAATAATGAACAGACTGTGATAGATAGATATGAACAAACTGAAATAGATAGATAGATAGATAGATAGATAGATAGATAGATAGATAGATAGATAGATAGATTTGGGTTTTGAAATTCTCACGAAATTCATTAGTTCATTTTCAGGTTTTCAAATTATTTCTGAAATAAAATTCATTAACAATCAATTTGCATTGATAAATATTCACGACAGAATTAAATGCAAGGAGACTATGTCACAAAAGAAATAATTCTTATGGAAGCAAGTGGCTTTACTTCATCATCATGTTATGTGTGTGTATACAAATAGATAGATACGAACAGAATAAGATAGATATAAAGAAAATAAGATAGCTAGACAGATAGGTATAAATAGAATAAGATAGATAGATAGATAGATAGATAGATAGATAGATAGATAGGTACGAACTGAATAAGATAGATAGCTAGACAGATATGAACAGATAGATAGATACGAACAATAATATATATGGATATGAAGAAAATAAGACAGCTAGACAGATAGGTACGAACTGAATAAGATAGATAATTAGATAGATATGAACAGGCACACGGATAGATAGATAAATAGATTGGTAACTCAAAAAAATGAGCGAGGTTAATAAAAATATTTAGAATGACATATGAAATGTCCGTAAACGACTAATATATTACTTCCCATGTTTTTTGTTCGTAAGTATTCCACCGTATTTTTAATCGCAAACGAACAGGCGTCCAGTTCAACGGAACAGTTTCAATAAATCATAAAAGGAACGAGATGCCATCGAGGCGATTCAGTATAAGATAGCACAAATCAACTGCTGCAAAAAGAAAAGTTATTATGTTTGTGACAGTAAAAAAAAAAAAAAATCCCCAAAAACAAGAAAAGAAAAAGAAAAAAAAAACAACAAAAAAACAAAAAAACAAACTAGAATACTAAAAAGGTGTTCAGTTAATTCTTATCTTAACTAGCAGCGCTACCCAGCGTTGCTCGGGAACTAATTGTGCCTAAATAAAGACAAAGCAGACACTTCATTTTATTTGTGTATCCTGTAAAAGAGTTGACAGATATTCACTATGCAGATGACCTATCTATGACTGCAGATACCATTACCACAGTTCTACATCATTTAGAAAATGCTGTTAACGATTTGGACTCCATGTCAGTGTATATCAAACTGAATTCATAGGCTTCAGCTAGCTAGGCTCAATACAAAGTGTCTCAGGTGACTCAATAAAGTCAGTCGAATCTTTTTGCATACCTAAGAAGCAAATAAATTCTATTGAAAAAGATGTAAAAATTCGCATAGCTAAAGCCTGGGCCGCCTTGAATAAAAATGGTTGTAATCTGGAAATCTGATCTACCAGACAACCTCAAGCGGAGATTCTTTCGAGCTACTGTAGAGGTGGTGTTAATGTATGGCGCCTCGGCTTGGACATTAACTAAAACCCTATAGTCTAAGCGTGATGGAACCTAAACTCGGCTACTGAAAGATCTATTTAACATCTCTTGAAGACAACCTCCAAATAAATCACAGCTCTGTGTGTCTATTCTTAATATTTCTACAATCTTACGCTAGCAAAAGAAAAAAAACTCGCGTATGATCTACTGTTCTGGGCACCTAGCTATGGAGCAAGACGGGTTTGTTGCCCAGCAAACACCTACATTGACCAGCTATGTTATGACACAGAATGTCACCCCAATGACTTTCCGACCGTGATGCAGTAGCGTGATAGTTGGCGTCATAGACACATAAATGTCCGAGCTCGCTCGATCGAATAAAAATAATTAAGATGATTAAGGGAGATAAACACACATTAATTCACCACAAAAAGTTGATTTTGTTTCCCTTAGCATGTGGGAACTAATAGTCAACTTTCACGAAAAATGGCTTCTTTGACCTTATTTTTAACTTTTCATGACCTTCAGGGTTGGTCTAGGTCAAATTTACGTCACCTTTGACACTTTCAGAGTGATAACCTATCTGAATGCCAAGTTTGTTTGAAATCAGTCCAGTAGTTTTCGATAGATGACAAACAGACAGACATCTACTTCATTTTATTTGATGATTCTGTATTTAGGCAGCAATCCTTCATTTATGCATGTTTCATTAAAAACGACGGACAAGGTACTACGGTTAAGCTTTTTATTTAATTTTTCTTGTGTTCGAACAAATGATTTCTTTTTTGGACACAGAGCGTATAGAAACTGCCCGAATGTTCTATAATTCTGAGCACTTTCGGCTATACTTTTAGCCATTATCAAGGATGATCTTATTTTTTCAGTTTAATTGAGTGTGTGCGTTGTGTGTATCTTTTTAGTGTTATAGGGATGTTTTATTTTCCGAACACAGCACATTGTGGCCATGTTCGTAGTTAATATTATTAAGTGTTTGTTTTTTCTTTTTTATTATTAAGGCTGCCATTATTTTTAATCTTTTTACAGGTGGATAAGGTTATTATGTTTGTGTTTTCTATTAGTATCTTTCCGATGGAGTCTGGTGAGTTTGTGTGTGTGTCAAAATATGGTCAGATAGGTGTAATATAAGACGTTTGGATAGACGTGTAGTCGTGTTACTAAGGCATTCGATAGTCTCTACACATTCTATGTCCAAAAAAGAAAGCATTTGTTCGAACAGAAGAAAAATTAAATAAAAAGCTTAATCGTAGTACCTTTTCTGCCGTTTTTAATGAAACTTTCATTTTATTTGTATAGAATGATATCATTTTGGTTTGGTGATACTTTTCTAGCCCCTAATTATCTATGTTAAGGCTTTCTTCTCTTCTTATATCTGACGCCATATTGTTTGCTTTTTGTTTCACCTTTATTATCGGAGATCATTAGGCGAATCCTTTGAGTCGGCACGTTTTTCCAACTGTAAAAAGAAAAGAAAAATTTTCGATCACGAATAATTAGGAAAGCAGAAACCAATCAAAGGAAAATTCAAAACAAAATCTGGAATATGTGGCCAATCGATATTTGATAACGCTTGCAAATGGCGAACCCGTTTAAAAAAAATGGTGGCGAATTGATCACGCTGAGTTGAGATTTCGCGAGAAACAATTTTCTTTTCTTCTAAGTTTTTGTAAAATAAGATTTACACAATCTCCACTTTTAATAACATTTGAGTATTCTAACGATATACCTTTTAAACCGAAAATCCATTGGTAGGTCAGCTGATAAGAAAGTTGGTTCATTGTGACGTGAAAGACAATTTTCTCTCCAGAATTTTACATATCTATCAGTCTATCATTCGCTTATGCTTAGAATATTGCTGGCGTCACATATGGTCCGGTGCTCCTGCTATTTATCTAGAGCTTCTTGAATCTAAAGAAGCATCAGCAATATTATCAGTCCTGATCTTGCGTCTCGGCTTCAGTCTCTTTCCTACTGACGTAAAGTTGCCTCCCTGTGCCTTTTCTATAAATACTTTGATGGTAATTGTTTGGATGAGCTCTTTACTATAGTGAGTGTGAGTGCTTAGGATGAATGCATTTTTTCTACTATTATAGTCCCGCATTGATTTCGGCTAGTGAACTGATGTTTCTGCCACATTTAGTGATTGTGTGTGTGTGTGGGGGGGTTATTACTAATATTATTTTCTTTAGTTTCTTGTAAATAGTTTTTTGTATTCATATTGTAAATACTCATTGGGGTTAACTTTTAGAATTGTTGTTTTATTCCCCCCCACCACAGACAATGAATTGTAAATATGGGGACTAGTTAGTATTTTCATAGAGACAAAGAGGTATTAGGGTGATTGTAGTAAGAAAGGTACGCATGAATGTGTTTTGTTGTAAGTAATATTGTTTGTGCTATTGGGTCAGCGTTTGTGGCTAGCTAAGTTATAGTTAAGACAGAAGAAGACCGTCCTTTCCCCAATCCCCCCTTCGACCTCGTGCCACATTTCTGTATTAAACAGAATAAATATCGCTCTTTGCTATGGTACCTAGACTTTATGAATTTAAGTTCAGTATTTGGTTAGAAACAAATTACATGTAATCATAAGTTCTATGCTAACAGTTTATTTTCTCACAGTTCTCATTTTTCCTGTCTGTAAGCTGAAATTATGACTTTTTTTTAATCATTTTTAACCCCCCTTTCTGCCTCCTATCAGCATGGCCGATGCTAATCTCCAGGAGAGTGACCCATTGCGCCTTCTCGTGCTAACATTCTTGGCTGACATGAAGTGGAAAGATTATATTTAATCCATTGCCAGGTCAGTTGCTAAGAAAGTTGGTTCACCATTCTGTGCTAGACGATTTTTCTCTCCAGAATCTATCTTACATATCTATAAGTCTACCATTCATCCATGCTTAGAATATTGCTGCTGCATATAGTCTGGTGCTCTTGCTATTTACCTTGAGCTCCTTGATAAGATACAAAGAAGAATCAGCATTATTATTGGCCCTGATCTGGCAGCTTGGCTTCAGTCACTTTCCCACCGCAATAAAATTGCTTCTCTGTGCCATTTCCTTAAATACTTTTATGGTAATTCTTCAGATGAGCTCTTTGCTATGGTACCTAGACTTTATGAATTTATGTTCAGTACTTGGTTAGAAATAAATTCTCAAATCAATTTACAGTTGAATTGGTTAGATGGTACCATAAGTTCTATGCTAACAGTTTCTTTTCTCGCTTGTGGAACTCTGTTTTCACTCCATACTTTCTAGTTAACTTTGTTCTTCAAAAATTTAAATTCAATGTCAATTGTTATCTTCTGTCTTCCTGATTACTCTTCTATTGTTCTTGCATTTTAGTAATGTTTCCATTTTCTAATTCTTTCACACCCAGTAATCTCCTTGTGTCTTAGTGAATTTATTGCCTTGCTTGGAGTAAGTTTGATTAAAAAAAAAAGAATTCTTTTTTTAGTCACTGAATCTCCTCAACCTTCAAATACAATGAATCCTCATTTTTATCTGAGATATAGGTATCACTCTCAGCTACAAACAAGTTTGAAAGAATGCCATGAGAAAGAAAGCAACACTGGAAGATTTTGTAAAGCAATAGGGAATTCCTTTATTTTTTATTTTATTTTAACAGTGACTATTAGTTTTATCGTTTGTCAACAAGAGAAAGGCATTGAAGCTGAACTGCTGTATCAAAAGCTAAGGGTAATCTTAGTAAAGAAATTCTTGATAAAACCCAAGAAGAAATATTGGTCCTGATCTTGCATCTCAGCTTCAGTCTCTTTCTCACTGCCGTAAAGTTGCCTCCCTGTGGACTTTTCTATAAGTACTTTCATGGTAATGGTTCAGATGAGATCTTCGCTATGATTTCGTCCAGGTAACCTTTCCAAAATAGAAACTATGATCTGTAGTTGGAATGAAAGCAGGGATGGCTCATCTCCTGAATGCATCATAAAAATCCAGGATATCGAATTGGTAAATACTTTCAACCTTAGTGTATGGACCGCTTGTAACCGAGTGAGTATAGGCGATATGGAAATTGAATATAAAAAAGGCTTCACAAGAGGTAGTTTCGCCCAACACCGCCAATTGCTACAAAACCAAAACGTCAACCTGAAATCTCGAGTCCTGTTCTTAAATAGCCTCGTCAGATCGAGAATTTCATTTGGATATCACGCATGGCGCTAAACCCGTTCAGAAATATTTAAATTGTCAGTTGTAGATAACCGCTTTCTAAGATCAATTGTTAGAAATGTCTTTGAGGGTCTTGGAAAAAAACATTCTTCTTTGAACATTGTGGAGTGGCGCCACAGAATCACAAACAAAGAACTCACATAAAAGAAACCGCATGAAACAAAGAAACCAAATTATTTGAGGACTACCGACAGCAGCAACAACTAAAATAGATAGCACACGTAACTCGAATTAAAATAATAACTTAATCAAGATATTGACGTTCCGCACCACTTCAAACAAAAGGTTAGGAAGGAAACCCCCATTATTACTGAAAAAAAATCAATAACAGAAATTCTTTTAAGAGATAGGTTTTATAAATTTCAACCGAAATGGCTACTGGTCAATGAATGCCAAATGTTTCCTTATAAAGAAACGGTTACTATTACCATTACTAGGTTTTGATAAATCTCGATTATTATTATTAGCATTACGTGCTCGACAAAATCTAGAGACTGATATGCAGTATTGTTGGCCCTGATCTGGCATCTCGTCTGCGGTCACTTTCTTACAGATGTGCCGTCGCCTCCCTCTGTCTTTTCTACAAATACTTTCACGGTAACTTCTCCGACGAGCTACTAGTTTCCAAATTGCTTGAATTTAACTCTGCTACTAGGTTGGCATCTCAGTCCCACTCGGTTAAATGTAGCCGTCTCTTCTACTCTAATAGCTTCATGTCTCGCACTTCCCGTCTGTGGAACTCCCTTCCTCTTACTTGCTTCCCTGATAGTTATAATCTTCAAATATTCAAATGCAATGTCAATCGACATCTTTAGATGCCTTGATGTAACTCCTTGATCTTCTCTTTATCCTTTCCTCTATCACGTCTCTTTACTCTTGCTCCCACTCTCTGTGACCCCTTGCGTGCTAGTGGCACTCCCGCCTTGCTTGGGGCGAAATGCTGAAAAAAAGTAGTAGTAATAGTTTTCCTCTATCTTATTATTGCTTGTATTATCACAACATTCTGAGTCGATAGACTCTTCAGTATTCAATCAGTCATCTGCTATGCGTGATACACGCTTAGACGATATTGTATCTCTCGACACATGACTGACGAGGCAGATATTTTCCCCACAGTAGTTTGCCATTTCTTTCTGCGGTAGACCAGTTGCCATCCAGGGCTATAGAACCCGGTGTGTCCTGCTATTTACCCATAGCTGGGGGAGTAGTAGGGGATTCATACCTTTCCCAAGGGTATTAGCACGTAAGTGAATGTAATGGATTCGACTGGAATTCGAACTCGGTTCTCCCATTCTTCAATCCGAGCCGCTATCCATTACTCCACCATGCCTCAGTATTACAATTTCATTACTAGATTCCGCCCATTTTTTTTATTATTGCTTTTTATTCCAATACTTCGGATCGATATGTTCTTTATTATTGCAAACTTTTTTATGCCTTGGATATAATATAACAGAACTTTAGAAGCAAGGACAAAACGTTATATTAAACTTTTATCTTTAATCATTGGAGTTCGCGAAACGGATCAGAAACCTAGAAGAAAAGACAGGAATCCTTATAATAATCATGCTTATGTCTCACTTTGTTAGTTCGCACAACCGCTACGGCCTGCCAATACCTCATAAATAAAGGACTATTCTCTTTTGATAGCGTGGCAAAAAAGACTTATCAGAGACGTTACTTGGTTTCAGTGACAAAAAGAAATAAAGAAAGATAGAAGTGTTTAACGTCTCCTGCCAATACCTCATAAGTAATGGACCATCCCATTTTGATCGCAGGGAAAGACAAAAGACTTATCGGAGACGCTACTTGGTTTCAGTTAAAAAAATAGAAAGAAAAAAGATAGATAGATAGAAGTGTCTAACGTCTCCTGTTAATACCTCATAAGTAATGGACTATTCCGTTTTGATCATGTGAGAAGACGAAAGATATATCAAAGACGCTACTTGGTTTCAAAGAAAAAAGAAAGAAGGGAAGACAGAAGTCTGTTTTAGTGACATGAAAAAAGTGGTCAGTTTCAAGTCTTTTTATTTGTACCCCCTTACTTCTTTAAATAACAACCAGCATTCATATTTATGATTGTTATTGCAATATTTTGTTAAAGTTGTTTAGCTTAAATATTTAACAATACGATAGGGGAATTTCTACGCATATTCTATTGTCGTAGAACTCACCATGAGTTTATTCAGTCGTTAAATGAATAATTAAGATTCATCCGAAATTTAAAATAGGAAAACCACGAAATGACCTTAGTACTTATAAAAGTCAGGTGTTGCTCAATCTTCAACAGTACAAGTCGAGGTCCAGTCTTCCAGAGAAACAGTCGCACCTGTCTCGTTTTCTGTCGGCTGCGTACGGTTTTTATATTCATATTGAATAGAAATAATGAACGGCGATGAATCTTGTGGCCGGAATTCGGGCAAAGCCTCCATCCCCACCACACATCGAATTACACTCCTTGCCCTCTAGAATGTGTCCAGCTCCAATTTCCGGCCGATCAGTCTGCTGGACAACCCAACCAAAGGGAAGATAAGGAATTATTATCAAATGTCGAGATAAAAGAACAAATCTATTCCAGCTTTGTCCGTAGAGTTCCACGCAGGCAAATCTCTACTTGCCCACCAAATGGCGCTCTGCATTTCTTTCTATCTATCTATCTATCTATCTATCTATCTATCTATCTATCTATCTATTTTGCGTGTGCATGTGTGTGTAGACATTTTGTCCATCAAAAGGACTTTATCAGACGAAAAATATTTTGAATATTTTTATTTATGGGAACACACACACACATGAATATATATATATATATATATATGGTGTATTGGTGCAGCAGATCATTATTCAAACATATACTGTTAAATATAAGACAACGAATGCCTATTATGTTTGATCAGGAGCCGTTCTAAGCTTCGTATAGTTGCTTGACTGAATATGTATTGCGATTAAGCTTTTTATATAATTTTTTTTCTGTTCATGTAAGAGTTTTCATTTCTGGGCACACAGCGAGTAAAAATTATCCAAATATCCGAGTGCTTTCGGCTATTCTATTAACTATTATCAAGGATGCTTTTTTTTTTTAAACGAATGTGATTCTTTTATATATTTCTACAATGGTGAGGATATTTTATTTTTTAAACACGGTCAGCACAGTGTAGCCGTGTTCATAGTTGATGTTATTTAGTAGTGGCTTTTTCTATTTTATTATTAGTGCTTTCATTATTTTTAGTCCTTTTTAACATGTGAATGACTATATATATATATATATATATATATAAGGATTTTAGTTTATGAAAAAGCATAGATGTATTTTCGATAAGAATTTTTCTAAATTGCGAATGTGGACAAGCATGTTGCTGTAAATGTTTAAAGATGCTAGACATGTCATTCAAATCAATATTTTCTCATGAAAATAATAAACATAAGCTAAAAAACCTTGAAGTTATCTATATTATTTAATTTTGAATCCAAACTTTAACAAAATGAATTATGAATACTGCACAAATGTTCTAAAATGTTTACAATAAACAGACTAAAATATCAGAGTCTATATTAATAGTTTTTCATACTATTTTCTTCCTTTTCAAAAGAGAAATCTCCACACATCATAATTAGTTAACTCCCCTAGAGCGTAAACATACACCGTATGACACAACAATTAGCGATCCTCACTCCATACATAAAATTGTAACTTTCAGATGAACATAGCAATTTTGTCTTTGGAAATAATGAACATTACGTTTTTGTCTTAAAAACACACCCTGAGGATGACATTGTGTTAATGTCGAAAGTACTTGGAATAAAACAATATGTATCAAAACGGTAATTTTTCTCTCTTTTTTTTTAAATACCAACATCAAAAAGCTCATCCGAGAATATGAACGGATGCTACTAAAAATAGGCAAACAAAACTTGTCTAAATTATTCAATGAAACTTGACTCATTACGTGCGTGCGCGCACACACACACACACACACACACACATATATATATATATATATATATATATATATATATATATATATATGTATGTGTGTGTGTGTAAAATGTTGTATATATATATATATATATATACACACACACGCACACACACACACACACATATATATATATATATATGATAAAAATATTGTTCTAAGCTGGTGTATTTATGGGTTAAAGTGCTCAATATCAGGGATAGAGCGTATGCAATATATAAGGGCCTGAATATTACATTTAAGTCTGAAACAGACGTTCCAGCTATCTGTTGAGCTCCATGTCCACTCTCATATATATATATATATATATATATATATATATATATATATATATATAAGGGTCGAATCCATTACATTTACTGACGTGCTAATACCCTTGGGAAAGGTATTAATCCACCTACTTCCCCCCAGCTATGGATAAATAGCAGGACAGATTGGGTTCTATAGCCTTGGGTGGCAACTGGTCTGCGGAGGGTCGTTTTGGGACCTTATGGCACGTAGTGCATCGGGTCTCTGTATTCGGCCCTTTTAAAATGTGAGGTTGGTTCTGCACAAAGCCTTCACCGCTATAATCGAATCATATGTGCTGGTGTCTGGGCTGTAAGAACTGCGCTGCTTGAACCTCATACATCGAAAACAACGGGAGAGTCCATGAACGTGTGTGTGTGTGTGTGTGTATGTGCGCATCTGTGTGTTTGATAACATATAATTTTAAAGTACGCCATATTCATGAATAAAAGTGCTCAATACCAGATGTAGAGCGTAGGTAGATATAATATATAAAATGGACACTGAGGACAACGCCAAACAGCAACACTCAGATTCATGCTTGAACTCGACCTTCAGGCCTGATTATTGCGTTCAAGCATGAAACAATACTCTTGCTACTTGATGCTGACCTTAGTGTCTACTTTTATATATATATATATATATATATATATATATATATATATATATATATATATGAAAAATCTGTGGGTAAGTAATCCAAGTGAACCCTAATAATATAACATACTAGCTGTAGAGCCCGGCGTTGCCCGGTGATGTAACAGTAAGAGATAGATCAAGTATCGACCATCATAAAGACTGAAAATAAAATTGACAAAGATTATTGTTTAAGGTTGACGGACACCCATGTCTTAATTAGTTTTTTTTTTTTTTTTTTTTTTACGAATTGGTCAAACCCAAACTCAAACAAAAACATTGTTTTCAATCGTTATGAGTCTATCGATTGAATAGAATTTGATTATAAACAATTGTCTTGTAAATGGAATTTTGAAAGCATTCTGAATGTAAAAATAAAGAAAAAAAGTGTGCAAGACAATAAGAAACACTACCTGCCAAAAAAAAAAAAAAGTGAAGTTTTGTTGAAATCGGTAGGGAAGTAGGAAATCCGATCCCATATATAAACGAACACACACACACACACACACACACACACACACAACCTGGATTTTATAATAAGTATAACTCGATATGAGTTGTCCCATTTTCATTCTCGCGACAGTAATGCCTCTTAATCGTGTTTTCAAATTGATTTCGTGCAAAAATAATTGTGTTTTTACAATTTTTGGCGCTGTCAGAACCACCGCGAGGTAATTTTATGTAGTCCTGTAAAGTTTTGTTGAAATCGGTTGAAAAATGTAGGAAATCCGATCCAATATATAAACGAACAGACACACACACACAACCTGGGTTTTATAATAAGTATGATTAAAATTGATCCACAAAAGAGAGCTTAATATATTTATTATGTAACATATAAATGAATTACATAAAAATGAAACTTAATTGTACCCTATTTATATAGTCATTTCGCTCCTCAAGAAATTCCCTGAAGCTAATACTAAAACGCTTGATAAAAAAAAAATTAGTATTATTTATCTTAGGATTGACAAGCGCCAGGGAATTTTTCGAAGAGAAAAATCACTCGAGAAGCGAAATGGCCATATAAATGGGGTACAATTGAGTTCCATTTTAATATATATATATATATATATATATATAAATATATATATATATATATATATATCACATTATGAAATGGACAAAGTCCGACAATTATTTTAAGACATTTTTATGTTTATACATTCTTTTTATAGATACAAATATTTAAGTAAATAATAAACAAGATTTACCGGCCCGAATGTCCGAGAAATCTTCATAGGAGGACGAAAATTTTCTATGACAATTTCTCTCGGACATTCAGGCCGGTAAATGTTAAATACTATTTATTATAAAACAGTGCATTTACTTAAATATTTGTATCTATAAAAAGAATGTATAAACATAAGAATGTCTTAATATATATATATATATATATATATATATATATATATATATATGTATATATATGTGTGTGTGTGTGCGCGCGTTTGTGTGTGTGTGTATGTGTGTGTGTGTGTGTGTTTTCTTTTACTTGAGCAGAGGTTTATATCATGTTCCTTGTTTAGGATTGCTTTTCTCCTGCTGCTGTGCTCTATCTTTACAAGATCCAGACAAGACTCCCAACCCCAAATGCAGTACTGCTGTCATATTTGGGCCGTACCTGTCAAATCCTCACCTTTCTGCCTCGTTTGCACGGTCTTGTGGGTAATGAATTATTTTCCATCCTTCAAATCTCTTTGCAAAGCCATGCTAATCCATCGCTATTTTCACTGCTGATGTTCGAGCGAAATGTTTCCAGCAGTCGATACCTTTGCAGCTAAGGACCTGCCAGCCGACTTATATTCATTCCCTTTCGTATTCCATTTCTAAAGTAAGTTTCACTCAGGCAACGTCTTACCGAGAACTGATGAAAAGTCAAACAGACTACGCCCTTCAAGTCCAGGGTCAACCTATCTATCCTATATTTCCTCATAACCCTTGCTCAATCCCTGTACGCCCCTATAGCATCCCCATTTAGTAACCTCTAGCCTTCTGTTAATTGAAAATTAGTAAAAAATAAATCAAATTTTCTTTTACAGGAGGTACAGGAAGCGTGTTTAGAAATTCATGCAGTTATCTCCTTCATTTCCCGCTTTTTTATGCTCAGAATGATTATACAAATACAAAACGAAGTGCACCTGTGTTTTATAGTTTATATCAAAGCTTTTTGACAAAATACGACACGAAGAACTGTTTGAACTGCTAGGTGAGCTTGATATATTTGGAAAGTATATTAGAAAAACCCAAACCGCAAACCGCCTGCATACAGATAGAAAATGAATTAAGTAAATACAAAGAAGTAGAAACGGGTGTAAGACAAGGATGTGTATTCTCACCGGACTTATTTAAAATTTGCAGTGAGGCGATTCTGAGTGCATTATGAGTCCTAACATGATTCATTATTGGCGGCCACTCTCTTAACAATATTAGATATACACTTAAAGCAGTGTTGATAGCAGACACAGAAAGTAAACTGCAGGAAATCCTACAGCTAAAAATTAAAACTAACAACTGGATATACTAATATAAAATAATTATACATTTTAGATATCTGAGATCCTTATGTGTCCATTGCGAATTAAAAAAACAACAACATAACACCAGTAAGGGAGCAAGCAGGGCTAGATCTTACCCACAGATCACTTGTAGGTAACAATGGTTCGAGGTACCCTAATAAAGGATGGAAAATGTGACAGCGAAATCCGAAGGTGCATTTGAATAACGAAAGATGTCTACCAAAAGTTGAGCATTTCGTGAAATACATCTGTTTGATGCTTTCGCACACATCATCAGG